TCCTTTTTTCCTGTCTTCCTTCCTTTCCCCAGCTTTCTCCCTTCATGTCCTTTTTTAAACATTTATTTTTGGCATTTTTGCCTTTATTTGGACAGGACAGTTTAGAGAGTTGAGAGAAAGTGAAGTAGGAAAGAGAGAAGGGGACGGGTTTGAAAAGGACCACAAGCCAGGACTCGAACTTTGGTCTGCAGAAGAACAACTGCGCTACCTGTCGGAGTGCTGACCACAAGCCTGCTGGGTCTGACCCTTCCCTTTTTTCCTTTTCTTCTTCCTTTCTCTCCTTCCTTCCCAGATTACATTTTCCTTACTTCCTTCTTTCCTTTCATCCTTACTTCTGTCCTGTGAAAAGGACATGATGTGTGGCCAAGTATGGTGCCATACTCAGAATTTGTGCTCTGCATTTCACCCATCCAAGTGCGCACACACACAGCAGTGAGTAGTGAACAAACACACACCCAGAGCAGTCGGCAGACATTTATGCTGTGATGCCCAGGGAGTAGTTGGGGGTTTGGTGTCTTGCTCATGGGTCTCACCTCAATTGTGGTACTGAAGGTGGAAGAGAGCCCTGTACATTCCTACCTACAATTCCTGTATGTACCAAGACTCGAACCCGCAACTTTTGGGTTACAATTGGGTTTCTAATGCACGCACGAATTGCATGTATTCTGACAGTGCTGCACGAACTTGCGGCGGATCTGCTTGTTAACCAGGGTTCAAAGTCCAAAGTGCGAGGAAAATCTGCGCTGAAATCAGTTGCTCAGTCACATTTTTATGAATTTTTACAAGGCATGTGACAATGCGATACGTGCGACGTATTCGTAATGAGACTCATTTATAAATTTGCTGTCAACAAAAAGAAGCATTGAGGACTTCCTGCGCATTTCTGCCAAAATAAAAGTTGACAAAAAGCAAGAACTCCAACATTCATAAATGTTATTGTAATTTTACTGCTGTTCTGTAAAATAAAATAAAAAGTAAGACAATAACAATGATAATAATTACAACAGCCCTGTTAATACATTTATTATAACATACACGCATAGTGTTCAAATTGGGATCTGTAATATTTTCTAATGTTTTAAAAGAAGTCTCTTCTGCTCAGCAAGGCTTTTAATTTTACAGTAAAAAATACATGCCTGATTGAAGAAGGGGGTCTGATCGCCAAAGAATATTATTTATTTTAATATTATTCATTTTAAGTTAAATTGTGCTTTGTTGGTATAATGTCTGCTAGAATGTTAAAAAAATGTTTAGTATTAAATATTTTTAAATTGTTGTTTTGTAATTGATTTTTTTCTTTCAAAAACAAGACAAAACAGTAAAAAGCACATTTTGGCTATTTAATTTATGCAATGGTGAAAAAAATTGTGAAAAAACTTGAAAAACCATGTTCAGTATTCGGCCTTCGGCCCAGTTTCATTGTGTTCGGTTTCGGCTTCGGCCAAGAATTTTCATTTCGGTGCGTCTCTAATTCATTCATTAATTTCCCTCTTTTCTTCCCTCATTCCTTTCCTAATTGTTTCCCTGGCTATATATCTACCCATTACATTTCCGTTTACCTTACAAGCATTCCTTTGCTCGTTTTTTTCCTCAACACCTATCTACCTGTTACATTTCTTCTTTTATTCCTTCCTTCACTCCCTGCTTCCTTCCTACCCATCTACCCAGCTTACTTTGCCTTCCTTCCTTCCTGCTTACCCATCTACCATACTTTGCCTTCCATCCTTTCTTTCTTCCTTCCTGTCTTTCTTTATACGTTACCTTTCCTTCTTTCTTTCCTGCCTATCTACCTATTCTATTTTTCCTTCCTTCCTACTTACCTATACCTACCTACCTACCTTACTTTTCCTTCTTTCCTTCTAACCTATCTGCATACCTTACCCTTCCATCCTTCCTTCCTTCCTTCCTTTGCTTCCATCTTTCCTACCTCTATACCTACCTTACTTTGCCTACCTTTCTTTGATTTCCTCTTGCCTATTTACCTACCTTACTTAGCCTTCCATATTTCCTTTCTTCCTACATACCTACCTTCCTTCCTTCCTTTTTAAATCATTGTTGCAGACCATTTAATCTAATCTATATGCCATTGTTTACTGTTATTTAGCTTTGTAGTCTTATTGTATGTCATGTACAAAGCATCATAAAAACAGACTAACAGGTGAACTAGACTAACTGGCCACTAAATTGGTGGCAGTCATATAATTTCCAAGACTTTCTCTGAATTGTTTGTGTAGTTGTGCTTTTCCAAAAAAGCTTTTCCTTTTAACGTTAACGTCACCACTCAGTTATCCCAAGCACCCCAGCATAAAGTCCAGACTGTAGACCGAAAAATAACATGGGAACCTGTCAGAAAAATGAGTCTGTGTGTGTGACAGAGAGGGATAGATAAAGGTGTGAGCTCGCAGCGCTGAAGCCGAAGTGAGTTGAGTAAATAATCGGCCGTCTGAGGAGCCGCGGGTGTGGGGCTGGCGTGTCAGCAGGCGATGGATGAGTCCCCAGGCCTGATTGTAAAGCCCAGCAGGTTGTGTTGGTTGAGTGAGTCTGTGCCGAGTGGAGTCTCAATCTTCCCTCTAATAGGCCACTGACAGGCCTTTACCACACACATATACACACACTTGCGAGTACACACATCAATAAAATTGTCCTGACAGGGACCACAGCCTCAGCTTTGGTACCTTGCACGCAGTACTACACTAAACTGACTGCACACACACACACAAAGACACGGGTGGCATCAAATCTGTGGCACTATCATTAAACAATAGGTAAGGTGGAACAATACAGCGGAGTGCGTAGTATACGGCTGGCTGTGTAAGACACAAGCTCTCTGACAAGCCATATTTGTCATCCGCTGGGATGCAGGCAGGTCCGACATCTGCGGTACAGATGAGAGGTGTGTGAAAAAGTGACTTTGAGCCAGACAACTAATCTCGCTGCCTCACATACTCGACCCCTTGTCGCAGGCCCACACACAAGTGTGTTTGCTCCCTCGCTTATGCAGTCTGGTAATACACCCCACAGCTCAAACACTCCATCACATAAAGCACACATAAACCCTCATAAAGGGTCTTCTGTATTACACATAGTCGTACAGTCGGACATCCCTCCGCTGTGTGCCATACTGGGCTGAGATTTGATCATTGGTAAATGTTTGTCGAAGATGAATTGCCCGGCTGATACTGAAGTGTGTGTGCGTTTATGGGTCCAGTGATAAATGGAGAAGGGTGCCCTAGAGTAGAAGACGGAAAAATAGGAGGAGGAAGGTTTTCTATTGCGACAGGAAATGTGAGTTTCTTTTGTAACATTATGGAATGGCCATTAAACGCACCCTGGAAAAAGAAGCTGTTCAAATAACCAGGGAGAGGCGTATTACCAAAACAATACATTTGTATTTGCTTTTATTTACGCTTTACTTATTTTGCTTAATTCTTTCTTTCTTTCTTTTTTTCTTTCTGCTTTATTTTTCGTCCTTGCTTCCTTTTTCCTATCTTTTACTCTTCCTTTTACTCTTTTACTCTTACTCTTTTTTTCCTTTCTGTCCATTCATTAATTTATTAATTCCCACCTTTCTTTCTTTTTCTTTCTTTCTTTCTTTCTTTCTTTCTTTCTTTCTTTCTTCTTTCCTTCCTTCCTTCCATCCTTTCCTTTCCTAATTTATTTTATTATTATTCATTCCTATCATTCATTCCTGTCATTTTTCTTTCTTCCTGCTTCACTTTTCTTTCTTTCTTTCTTTCTTTCTTTCTTTGCAATAAATGATTCTTTTAATCCATTTAGTGAAATCATTGTTGCATGTTAGAGAAGCACAACTAAGAATTTACTCTTGCCAAATCTGCGCCGCCTATAGTTAGTTTAAACGGAACTACCATCTGCTTACAAATACAACCTTTTCATAAACAGCTGTAAATGGTTTATTAAAATAAACTTTCAGCCAAAGCATTTCTACTCTGTATTTTTCCTCCACTAACCCTCTCTGATTTTCTTAAAATCTTTAAGTAATTCCATTCTTCCGTTGGCTTGTCTAACATGCGAAATTGTACCTGCTGGGAATAAATCTTTGGGGTTTTTAGCTCTGGTGTACAGCGGCAACGAGCGAAAGCCACCATACCGAGTCCATCTTTTACCTGCATGCATGCATGTCACTTCAGCCCAGCCACTCATAAAGCAACATGATGGATAAATGAATACAGAAAGAAATAAATAAAAGCCACACTTATTCTCTCCCGCACATCCTTTCCTCCGCCTCTCTGATGGATCTGTGAAATGATATAAGGAATAAGACTTAGAGGGAGAGCGAAAGAAGGGGCTGGGGTGGAGAGACAGATATGATTTATTAGGCTGATAAAAATTCAGCCTTTGTTATTCAGTCATTTTTCCATGTGCAGCTTATTAAGGAGCGCACCTGCCAGAGGAAGAGTTTGTGTGCGCCAATGGGTGTATGTCTAAATGTGTGTGTCCCGTGGAGTAGGAAGACTCAGACCTCACAGAACCAGTTTAGATGACACCCTCTGTGTTCAGTGCTGCATTTTCCTGTCTAGCAATGGCTCCCTTTAGACCTGGCATTAATATCATGAGTTTTCAGTGATCAAATCACAATCGATAACACTTAACCACATTAAAAGCCAAGGGTAATTGCACCCAAGACACATTGTGATTGAATCACTGAAACCACAAAATATTTTTTAATCTGTCAAAATGATGGAAAGAATTTCTATCAATATTGTAAATAACATAACTTCTATGTAAACATTGTCCATTTTGCAAATGCAAGTTATCCAGATACAAAACACGTTTATACTAAGTGTAAAAGTGCCAGATGATCGTGTGTGTGTGTGTGTGTGTGTGAAATATGAACAGTATCTATCTCTAGAGTTTATGCAAACCAACTAATGACTTCGTTATAGCTCAAGCAGGCATCATTAGGTGATTAAGCTTTATTGATCAGTGAAGTGACATCTCAACCATTAATTCACTTCTGTGATTTGTCTGTTCCTTTGCAGGACCCTTATCTTTGTCATTGCGAAGCCCGGAATCGCATAGGGTATTCAAAACACGCTACAAGATTGACACACGCAGAGCCCATACAGTCCACCACAACCCTGCTCTTTCCTACAGGGTCAAGAGAGTGCATTCTGCCAGGTAAGTGATGGGTGCTTTTCTGGTGGAGGTGGAAATGACCAGCACTTAATCCACTTCCTGTTTGTCTCCACCTCAACAAAGCTAATTTCAATGGCTTTATTCTATCATAAATTCTGCGTTTGCATGTGTGCGTGCATCCCGCTCACAATCTTAGCCCAGCACAACCAATTACCAGCCTGATTAAAACCTCTCTGTTGACATTCAGTGTCTTTATCAGTGCCTCAGTGCCTTATAAAACATTAAATAACGGCCTGGCCCTTAATAACACCATATAGAACCATAACTAACTGCCTCATCACCGCTGATAATGACAGAGAGAAGGTGCCGCTCGTCATGGTAATCTATTACTGGAACCATAATATTACACCATAAAGATGTTCTACGGGATGGCCCACAGGGAAGTCACTGAGACAGAAGCTTTTAATGGTGCCTTGAAATAGTTTTTTTTATATGACAAAATTAAGTCTCAACTTTTAACTTGAGTGCTGGGTTTTTAGATCACTGTGTCATATGCCAGCCTGGTCTCATTATTTATACGTAGGTATTAGTACGTAATGTTTTCAAGGAGAAAATGTACATTTTTGTACGGTTTTTTTCTGTTGCTGAAATTTACAATTTGATGTGTTACAACATTTAAAACGTAAAATTTGCTACATATTTTTAGCTAAAAAAAACAAAATATTTATTAATCTTTTATATCATTAAGATATTTGTATCCATGCGTTTTTTATCATTTTAATGATAAGCGATTTAGATTTTTATACCCTGTCAATATTATATGTTTAAATGATGTAAACATGTCAGCATTGTATGTTTAGATGCTGTATTGTATGTTTCAGTGTCTGTGAAAACGTAAGTAAATGTACGTTTTGTAGAACCACATTTTACGTAAAATACATAAAAATTATCATGAGATCACGTTGTATATGGAAGACTTGAGCTCAACGGTCAAAGACATATTCTAGCACATTTTTAGATGGATAAACAATCTAAAATGCCGGGTTCAGACTACACAATATTTTTGTCCGTCACGATAGTCACCGTGTCAGATTACACGATTTTGACTCCTAAACTCTTGTCGTGTCATGGACAAGAAACATGTCAGACTACACATTGCTTCCCGACCATTCATCGCGTGCCGTCTTTAACGCGCGTGATGTCATCGAGAAGGCGGAACTAGAGACTGACTTCTGAAAACAAGAGTGTAAACATTGCTGAAGCGCTTCCGCTATAGTTCGCCAGCATTTTTCTTTCTTTGTTCTGTCGTGGTAGTCCCTCGATGACACATCATACAGGCAGGAGTACTGTTGCCACAGCTCCACGAACCTTTCCTCCATCTCATAATTCAGCCTAGCAGCACCATCATCTCTCTTTCGTTTTGCCATGTTTGAAACCTGTCTTTTGAAAGAGCTGCTGTGCTGCTATTGGTCAACGTCACCAATGTGACAGAACTCGTCGTGGACGGCGAAAAAAAAAATTAAACATGCTAGTCTTTGTCGTGATGTCGTGAAGCATCGCAGAGGCGGAATCGGTTGTTGTCCACTATGACACACTACACGTGCTGAAACGATGGAATCTTGCGTCTCGACGCCCATTGTCGTTTACGAATCCCCACGACACCCTACGTCAAGCAAATCGTGGCAAAATCGGGCTAAAATCGTGTCGTCTGAACCGGGCATAAGTGATATGCAAAAAAACAGATCAACAGAAGGTTGTATTTATGTTTCAGTGACAGTTAACAGCTTTCCCTGTTAAATCTGTGGCCTAGCAGCATATACATGCCCCAATGTTGATACAATGGTGTTAGTGCAAGAGGCAGAGGTTCAGATTCAAATGACAAACAACTTTTTTCCCCTTATGTGCAGTCTAGCAGTTTGTGTGCAAAAGAGAATGGCTGTTGCACAATATGAGGCGTCTAGTTCCCCAGTGTGGTTATGTTCACACAGAACAAGCCTTTAAAGCAAAATTAAGAGAGGTTGGAAAGCTTCTAAGTTGTAAATGCTTATAGAAAGACAGAGAGAAGGAAGAGGGGTCACTGCTGTGTCTGTATGGCATTAGCTTTAGTCTGATAGGAGGCCACTGAGAAATCCTATTCACTTTAAGGTGTAAATGAAGCACTCATGCGTATGGGTGTAAATTTTTTATTCCCCCTCTTATCTACAGAGTTAAAATGATCTTCATAAATCCCCCTGCTGTGTGGGCCTGGCTTAGCCATGTATAAAAAAAGAGAGTGTGGATTAAAGGTGTTATATGTTAAGAAGTGTGCCACATTAAACAAAATAACCTTCTCTTTTATCTCTCTTTGCTCTCTTAGTGAGGATTGCTTTACACTGCCTTGAGTGGATAGTGCTTAACAAAATCACTTATTTTTGGTCCTTTCAAGCAGGTTCGGTGCATGATATCACTTTGAGTATCTGATTGGCTGCTTAAGCAGCTGTAACTTTGTGTTACTGGAGAGAGAGGAAGTTGGGGGAGCTGATCTATTTATGTCCATTGGTTTTAAATATATTAATGTAGTTATCCCTGTTCATATCATATGAGCTGATAATAGTTTCTTGAGGGTAATTTCATTATGTGTTTATCTTAACCTTTTTTGCTACTTTTGCTCATTGTTCGCATTTAGGATGGGCATGTTTCCTTAGATATGATCAAACCATGAAAATATGTATATATTTTTACTTAAACATATGTTTTTGAATTTTACATAGCAAGGAAACATAATGCTATGCCAGATTTAGTAAAACTACTGGTATATGTCATCACGTGGTGTTTGAGAACATTTTGGTCGACAGACATGTAACAGCTGCTCTTGAAATAGATGATTAACAGGTCTACAGGTCAGACTCTCATCTGAGCTCATTACTGAAGAGATGCTGACATTTTGACCTCAGTGGCCTGCACACAAGTATACAACACGGTTTATGTATAGTTTGATTAGATTTGTGTGTGTGTGTGTAACTAAGCGTGTGTATATATGTGTGTGTGTGTGTGTGTGACTAAGCTTGTGTGTGTGTGTGTGTGTGTGTGTAACTGAGCTTGTGTGTGTGTGTGTGTGTGTGTGTAACTGAGCTTCTAGCTCTTTTCATCTGTAATTTATTCTGTAATTAAATCTTTACACTGTCTTACATGACACAAATGTTTGTACAAATGTTTGTGTATTCTCTCTCTAAAAGGTAATTAAAAAATGCACTGTACACTTTTTATATGTATCCAGATTTTGCCCTAAAATCTCAAATAGTATTTGTCACCAACTAAAATATTTGATATTATGCAACATAGTAATCTAAAGTGTTACTGATTTTTGCAAGTTTGTGTGCAGGTCAGTGATACTTGATTCATGTAATTTAGATTTGCTAGGGCAGTGCTTTCTGATTTTTAATGGATAAGCGAGTTTTGAGTTTGTGTTTGTGGGGCTTCATTTGTGTAATGCAGATTTTGTGAGACGCGTGCTTGGCTTCAGACTGCCTTTGAGCTGTGGTGACTTACCGCCATTCATTTAGCTGCCTGCAATAAATATTGATTCATCAAGGGATTTTCAATTTGAACCTCTGTGACGCATTGTGAAATATTACAAGAGATGGAGGGAAATGAGAAAGAGAGAAAGATAGCATGGGGGGAGAGGAGATAAGGGAAGATTTTTAACGATCCATCTCTCTTTCATTCATTCATTTGTTGGTGATGCTTATTTTTAGAGTATTTTAGAGTATGGCCATCTGCCACATTCTTATTATATTTACACATTTGGCAGACATTACATTTAAGCTTTTGTCTGAAGCGACTTATGGTGCATTCAAGATATGCTTTTTACCAGTGCATGCACTTCCTGGGAATCGAACCTGTAATGTTGTCACTGTGCTATAAAGAACGGATGCACAACGTGCTTAAAAAAAGCCACAATGCCAAGAGTCTCTCCGTATTAGTTAGTTAGGAAACACACACAGATGGCCGATCACAGTCCACCACCCAAGAGCTCAAGCTGAAGAAGCGCGGAGCCCCTCTCCGTCTCACACTTGAGCAGACAGACGCGGGGCTCTTTAGCCCCTCACCCTTCCGTGCAGTGACCCGGCGTCCGACGCAGCGAGCTGGAGAGGGGTGGGAGTGTGTAGTCAGCAGTGCGGCTGTGTCTGGTGATTGAGTGTTCGAGGGGACTGAGTGGGGGAGGAAAGGCCCTCGTAAATCCCCAGCAGCCACCAGAAAATAGATATAATCTCAACATTAACTACATTAATAGTAGCAGGAGTTGAATTAAGAAAGCCGTAAAGCATGGACGCCTGGGCATAAATTACACGAGTCCGTGCGCACACACACACATACATACACAGACACACGCATACAAACTGCGTCCTCCCATTGCATGCTCTCTGTTTTGTTCTTTCTTTTCTAGATTTTCTCATTTATTACTGTGAATGTAGAGTTTGTCTTTTTTGTTCTTGGACTTGGCTCGCCAGACCACCTCTTAAGATCATCTCTTATTTCTCTTGATATTTTAAACATGAATATTAATTAATTTATATGATTAATATTGATATTAATAATGATTCATATAATATTATCAATATTCATATATTATTTAAATTAATAAAATGTGCATTAAAACAAAATATTTCTGATATTGATATTTCTTGTCATCATAAATAATAAGTTTGTTATTATATTAACATTTTTATATTAACAATGATTCTAATATTATTATCAATATCAGTATAGTTCATTCATACTGTATTATTAAAATTAATTAAAATGTACGTTAAAAAACTTAATTATACTGAATTAATGTGCTGTATGTATGTAATGTAATGTATCACCCAAGCTGCATTCATTTGAGTAAAAAAGAAAATGAAAAATGAAATAATGTGAAATATTATTACAATTTAAAATAACAGTTTTCTATTTTAATTATTTCTAAATAATAATTAATAATTCATATAATATTATTTAAACCAATTAAAATGTACATTAAAATAAAATACTTGTGATAATATCTCTTGATCACAGTTTTT